GTTTTGGCCATTTTGAATCAGACAACCATATGATCTACTATGCCAAGAATGACAGTTTGAAGAGGAATGGCGTGGCATTCATCATCACAAAGGATGTTTCAAGATCTGTCCTGAAGTGCAATGCTATCAGTGATAGGATAATATCCATACACCTACAAGGAAGACCAATTGATGCGACTATTATTCAAATTTATGCACCACCCACCAAACACAAAGATGAGGAAATTGAAGATTTTTATCAACTTCTGCAGTCTGAAATTGACTGATGTGCAATCAAGATGTGTTCATTATCACTGGCGATTGGAATACAAAAGTTGGAAACAAAGAAGAATCATCAGTAGTTGGAAAATTTGGCCTTGGTGACAGAAATAAAGCTGGAGATAGCATGATACAATTTTTCAAGACCAACGACTTACTCAGTGCAAATACCTTTCTTCAACAACACAAACAGCAGCTATACACATGGAGTTCACCAGATGGAATACACAGGAATCAGACTGACTACATCTGTGGCAAGAGTTGATGGAAAAACTCAGTATCTTCAGCCAAAACAAGGCCAGGAACCGATTGTGGAGCAGATCATCAACTGCTCATATGCAAGTTCAACTTGAAGTTTAAGACAATTAAAACAAGTCCACGAGAGCCACAATATGGCCTTGAATATATCCCTCCTGAGTTTAGAGACCATCTAAAGAATAGATTTGATGCATTGAACACCAATGACTGAAAATCAGAAGCACTGTGGGAGGATATCAAGAGCATCATCCATAAAGAAAGCAAGAGGTCACTAAAAAGATGAGAAAAGAAGACCAAAATGGATGACAGAAGAGACTCTGAAACTTGCCCTTGAGCAGAGAGTAGCTAACACAAAAGGAAGAAATGACAAGATAAAAGTGCTGAACACAAGATTTCAAAGAGCAGCTTGAGAAGACAATGCCAATTATTATAATGAAACGTGCAAAGACCTGGAGTTAGAAAACCAAAAGGGAAGAACACTCTCAGCATTTCTCAAGCTGAAAGAACTGAGAAAAAAAATTAAGCCTCGAGTTGCAATACTGAAAGATTCTATGGGCAAAATAATAAATGATGCAGGAAGCATCAAAAGAAGA